ATGACTGACATTCCCGAAAACTCGTGTGGACAAGTCCTCTCTCTAGGCCCGCCCTTTCAATTGCTGCTGGAAATATTTTCTACTTTGTATCTATTTTCGTTCTATTTCTAGCCTTGTCGACGTTTATTCTTCCTTTTCTTCTTCATTGTCGTTCCATTTCGCATCTCTACACTCAAGCGCCATAATACGACCTTTGCCTTCAATGTTTTCTGCGCTTTCTTCTGTCATGATTTTGATCGGAAGAAGAATGATTCGAGGAATCGCATCGACGAGACACACATGAGCAGGCAACTGAGCAAAGTCCTTCTTCAGAACATTAAGATCAAAGGCATTTTGCACCATGGATTGTATGAGCGGCTTTAGCAACGGTCCTCTCGTTGGAGGGCACTCTCATTGATATATTCAAGGAAAGAACTCAAAAGAGGAAAGAGAGCTTTGCTAAGACTTTCTACGCCCAAACGACCAGTGCGGGGCATACCTTTAGATAACTTTTAACAATAACTGAAACTGACCACGAAAATATTCCGAAGCTCTCCAAGATTGCCGAGTTCGACTCGGATTTTGACGAACTTCACCATGAGATCCCTCCATGTGGTAAACGACGTTGGTATAGCTGTTGATGAGGGGATTACATCACACTCAAAAGTCCAATATGCCAATCTTGGGTAGACTATACGGGAAATAACCTAGAACACAACGTGCAATATGTAAACCACATCAATTATCGCGAGGTGAAACAAACCAGGTAACCACCACGGGTATGTCGACTGTCGATAAGTCTGTGCATCAGAGCAAAGGAGCGGTCACTCAGTTTGCGTAACTTCTTAAAGTCCTGAAGACTTTCCACAATATCTACTTTGGTGTCTTGACCACAGTCAATCCTTGCTAAGTCCCGTACCAGCATTGTTGTCAACAGAGGAATTTCAGCATAACTTGACAGCGAAACTGCAAATCTCCAAATTCCTACTGCTCATGAGCATGACATCCAATCACTTACCTTTGCCAAGCAGCACAAACAGTGACTCACTCGCTTCCTCAAGGAGATGTTTCACATCTTCTTTGTCAAATGTTAGGGCAATATCAATATCCTCTGAAAGTTTCAACGATGAAAAGATAGACTTGTTCACAAGATTTATAAGCAATGGGCAGGGCACCTTCCGCTTCAGCTTCGTCAACGTCCATCGCGTCCTGATGCTGCTTCTTCTTCGACTTCGCCTTTCCTTTCGATTTGTTTTGCGAACCAGGTTCGCGACAATCAAATGCTAAGCATCGATATAAGGAACGGAACACTAGCAGACATTTCTAAAATGGTGATTTTTTTGACAATACTTATTTCAATGGTCTGCATATTAATGTGGATATTACCACTAGAATGCTTATTCAAGGGCCAAGAAATTTGCATATAAATTAGCATAATGTAATGTCTAACGTGTTATATGAGATGCTCAATCAGGATACTGAACAAGCTAAGGAGAACAACATAAAATGAGTGAGCTCACCTGATAAAGGTAAGGATTAAAGATGTGGTAAGCTTTTGAGCCTTTTATACTGGAAAGGTAGAGGTAAGCGCAAGCCGCAAGAGCCCCTCGTTCGACTATCTCGAAAGTGCTGAAAACATTTTGGATGAGACAAAAATTAGTAAACCAATCGATTCGAGGAACAAAGTCAACGAACAAATATATCACCTGTTTTTGGCCAGAGCCCATTCCATAGAAAACCAAAGTAGCACACAAAGTTGTCGACCAGATATGTCAACATTTGTCAATTCATTCCACACTTCTGGATCATCGCATTCTTCTTCGAACTTCGCCAAATTCGTGAACACTACATCAGAATAGTAATAAATGTTGAAACAAAAGAGCACGGTGTAGTGCAACGTACGTTGTCTGAGGCGTAGCGTCACGTGATCATCTTCATAGAATGATGGAGTAAATAAAGCAGAGATGGTGGGAAAATCCGTGTAGTTCCCTTCGACACTAAAATAATACATTACAGACGGCCAACTCTCGCAAAAAGGGTAGTATGCAACAATGACAATCTCTATAAATCAGAAGAAAAAGTTCTTCGAAAACTTGGTTCTCTGAAGGCAGATATGACACTCATTTCAAGTAGCTAAGTCCGCTCAGAAACGAGTCCTTCCAAACTCGAATTGAGATATTCGTTCTCAACGGCAAAGGTGCCGAGGATCGATGGCCATGTTGAAGGGTTTCTAGGCTAAAGTGCAGTGTGCGATCTGTGATCACATCACTGTAGGGGTGACGGCGTGTGGCTCTGTTCAGAGTTGCCCGCTTAAGCAAAAATAGGCTCCCCTACTTTCTTCACGATTTGGGGCGCGGCCGCGGCGAGCGCGGCCGAGTCGATAGTGCCCGCGAACTGTGTGGGTAAATTTGAAAACGCATCACCACCACAGTTCGCGGGCACTATCGACTCGTCCGCGCTCGCCGCGGCCGCGCCCCAAATCGTGAAGAAAGTGGGGGAGCCGCAAAAATAAGAACATTCAAGCAAATAAGAACAAAATCTCCACCAAGGTTTAGGCACTGGTTGGGAAATTGGGAGTGGAGTCAAAGTGTGCGATCAGTAGCCGCGGACTTCGCGACGTATTGGACACCCCAAGCGTAACGTCCGGCGTAGGCAAAGTCAGTCAAGAGTTATACAGGTATCGATGAGAAATGCACGTACGGAAAATCGCAAGAGCGAAGCGTTGGGAGTCGATACGTATGTACACACTTTCGTCGATCCTCCCACTTCACGATTCTCCCGAGCTTCATCGCCCAATCGATACATATTTTACTTCGTTTCGTCTGTACTTTTTCGCGTGAGCGGGTAACACTGAACAGAGCTAACAGTCACCTACAGAGATGTGACCACATCGATCGCACACTGCAGCTTCGGCCTCAGAAACCATGAAACATGCATGGCTAACGATCGGCCGAGGCGTGGCCCATCCCTGGCAAGTTCCTGCTGCACCCGGCTTCTGACTGAGGCGCCATTAGTTGTAGTTTGCGAAAATTTCGCTGCGAAAGCCTCAGATCCACTCTCGGCCAGTGGTGGACTCGAGGTTCCCGCAGCGAAGTTTCGCGCTGCGAAAGTCGCTCTCTGTTCTGGCAAACCACGCCCCTGTTATAGTCGGTCATCCGATCGTAGCGATCGCACAGCATAAGCTACGTATCGATCGTCTAGCGTCTGACACAGATATCACGGTGGTAACTAGCGTTACGATTGCAGCGGCTGTGAAAGCGCCAGAAGCTGATGAGAGGTACGGAACTATGGCCAGGAGTGAAGAAATTCCGGGGTAGACAAAACTGCTCAAAGGTAAGCTGCGGAATAAAATGGTCGTGGAAGGGCGTTCACCACTGACAGGTCTGGGGAAGTTTGGGAAAGAAAAAGGAGGCAAGGGACCCCCCCCCCAACGATAACGCCCCGAATAGGTTCCTAATCTATTTCAGCCGCACTCCACCGTGGGATAGAGAAGGGGCGTGTTGGAACGAGTTTCACGAACCAATCTCCAGTTGCCGCAGTGCCAATGGCACTGAACAGCAATGCACCGCTGCCGCTACTGCGCTCGCGCTTTTCAAGCGAGGTTAAGCCGACGTCATAGTTTGATCGAGCGATCGCTGGATCCGAGCGTTGCGCCAGCGAATCGAACGTTGCACCAGCGAGTCGAACGATGTACCAGCGAGTCGAACGATGTACCAGCGACTCAATAGTGGCGGGACCCAACGTTCAAAGGAAGTTTCGAACAGTGTCACGTGACAGTGGACCCTTTTTGAAAGTGGCGGGACTTGACAGTGGACACTGTTTGAAAGTGGCGGGCTCCAGGCTAAGCATCCCAAATCCTCCCCCTGTTCCACATAGTCCTGCAACTAAAACGAAAACATTGAGTAGGGATGAACGACATAGCATGTAAGTCGAAAGAATGATGGGACACGAAAATGAAAGCATATTTTTTTTCGAAACAGACGTGAAGTAAAGTAGGCCTTCATATTCACTTGCATCCGAAAAAAACATTGAGGTAGGACCATCTTACCCATCTTACCTTGAAGAGGCCCACTCGTCTGTTATATCTTGTACAGAGGAAAATTCGCTGCGAAGAAAGTTGACCAAATTAACAATGGCGCCCATTACTTCCAGAATGTGCTGTAACAATGAAAATAGCCTCAAGTTCAAGGCTTTCCTGTTAAACAGGAAGGTATACAATGAGCAAAAATTAACAAGTGACGGGTTCATTAAACATAGGTCAGGAAAAAGTCAGACCTGACTGCTCTCAGGAAACGAAGTTTATGTAAAGCCCTTTGACGATAACGCCGGAGCGTTCTACGCCAAGAACTAATCGAAAAGAGCTATTATAACTCCACCCAAAAACTGTTAAGGTCGTGCGTCGCAAACCTTCGCGCACTACCTTCAAAAAAGGAGAGATTTACTCATACTACTTACTACTCATGGCTCAATGATTTCCGGAACAGACGCGAAAATTTCCATCTCTTCCACTCCGGAATCCGTAAATACAGCTGGATACGAATATCCTTTGTGCAAAAACCAGTATCATTACTTCAAGTATAAACAACAGACTAGCGTTATAATTCTTAAAATTACGAGCTATGCATAGGGGAAGCACTTTCAAGCACTCTAACAGCAAATACTCAGCGTGAAAAAATAGGCACTGATGATGGTCACCATGAATAGCACAATGCCTTCCTGACCAGTAAGAAATTTGCCAAAAAAAGTCTACGCAGCTAAAATTCTTGAGTGTCGCTAGGGCTGATAGTCCTACTTGTCTAAAGCTGCGTTCTCAACAATGAAAAACTAGCTTCAACGAAAGAATGTTCCATGTTCGAGCATGGTCAATCTGGGGGCTCCTTTCTTTCAAATCTAACAGACAGAAGGGGCTAATGCGGTTTTGATGTATTTCACCGAGAGAGCTAGAAATTGGCTCAAAATATGAATAAGAAAAACTACACAGAAACAAAGTTTGCAGCGACTATCAGAAGTGCACAACCGTGAAAAGATTCATCGAATTCAGGAACAAAAGTGGTTTAAGGCGTTCTTCATCGTGCTATTTCTTTTGACGATACGATTTCTTTAGAATTGTTCTTTCCCGAAGTCTCACATTGTTTATTACACATTTAGATACGATTTCTGTTGTTGAATCCATGACCTTTTGCTGACTTGAAAAAGAAACGGTTTCTGTGTCAATGAATATATTGTGGCGAGCTTATGATATTGAACATTTGTAAAGCGACCAGTAACATCACAGAATTAGAAATCTTATCATAACATCTCGAATATAACAAAATGTACAACGCCATTCGTGAGGTGCAGTCTCAACAGGAAAGAGAAGATAAACCTTTTCAAACAAGCAGGCAATCCTCAGCACGAATAAGAGGGAGTTTGTAAGGTGGAGCATTGATTAAAAGAAACTCTGAGCAACAGGAAACAATGTATGTTTCAAATTGAAGTTCGCACCTGTACATTCGAACCCTGCAGTTTCGCGCGGTTTGCTTGGGACATGCGCTGCTATTGGAGCATCACAGTGAACATGATGCAACAGTTACAGTTGCAAACACTGAAATAAATTCAGATTCTCATGAAAAGGATATTGATCATTACGGTGTGTGACCGAATCTCCAAGCACTATAATGATTTGCCTCCGTCGTGGTGGAAAAAGGGCTCCCACACGATCATGCAGAGTGCGTCGTAAATATGGTGACAACGTAATCGTTCTCCGAACTGAAAGAAGAGTGAACCTTCTTATGTAATGACTTTGCTCCTGTAACGAAGGAGTGGCTCTAGAACCGTTATATATGAATGCTTCTAGCAGGAGTGGTTTGGTTCACTCGAACTGGAAGTCGAACTCTCATTTTCGCTGCGGGAACCTCAAGTCCACCGCTAGGCAGATTGGATCCGAAGTCCTCGCAGCGAAAAATGTTTCGCGCTGCGAAACGTGAAAAAGTCGGTTATAAGGCTTCTGTCAACCAAAGGGTGAAAGCGTATCTGGAAAAGCATACACTTTGTTCTTATTGGGACTAAGGCTGATGTCGAAGTCCGCGATCATTTGCGCGATTTTCGCGAAACCTGCGATGGATCACAGGAGTTGGAAGTGCCCGATGAATACTGCGAGGTGTTGTTTAATCCTGCTGCGAATTCTGCTTGGCAGTAAAGATTGGAAGACGAATGTTTGTGGTTCTACTTGTTTCATGTTCAATGTCTATTAGTTCATTGAAATGCTCTTGAATCGTTCCTATTTTTTTCAGGAATCAAACCAAACCAATCACAAAAATTGCAAGTGCCCCATTTGAACAATTGAAACACTGGATATGAAACAAGTGGAATCATGAGCAGTCTCCATTAAACCATAACCATCAAGCAGAAGTGGACGGCGGGATTGGAGAACACCTTGCAGTATTGATCGGGCACTTGTGATTTCCGTGACCCGTCGCGTGAATCGCGCAAATCGCGAAAATCGCGAAAATCGCGAAGACGGATCGCGGACTCTGACACCAGCCTAAGCCTTTTGATGGAAATGAAGAAAGGAGAGATGCTGTGATAGTGTGCACTTGTGAGAGCTCCCAGACATCACTACAAAACGCTGAACCGCCAAGCCTCACGATTGACAGAAGTCCTGATCGTGAGACCGAAAAAGTCACTTTCTGTCATAGTGAACCACTCCTCAACATAAGTGGTAACTCTCGGAAGATTCTGGCACGCAGCATATCTGTTTATCATGGACGAAAAACTGCTCAATTAACAAATACGTCAGTGTCGCAGGCTAAGGCTGGTGTCATAGCCCACGATTCGTCGCAGGTTTCGCTGATTTTCGCGATTTCACGCGATTTTCGCGATTTTCGCGATTTGCGCGATTCACGCGATTTCGCGATTTGCGCGAAACCTGCGACGGATCGCAAAAATTGCAAGTGTGTGAACATTTGAAACACTGAATATGAAACAAGTGGAATCATGAGCAGTCGTCATTCAGCCATCACTATCAAGCAGAAGTGGCGGCAGGATTGGAGAACACCTTGCAGTATTGATCGGGCACTTGTGATTTCCGTGACCCGTCGCGTGAATCGCGCAAATCGCGAAAATCAGCGAAACCTGCGACGGATCGCGGACTCTGACACCAGCCTAAGTTCAGCAATGATCGACGCATGGAGGACGCAGGATTGAACAGCAGATTTTGTCAGGCTTGTTCGGAAAGTTCCCACCGATTTTGACCTTTAAGTTTAAAAGCGCATATCTCGGTTCAAACGAATCCATTTTAATTGAAATGAAAACTATGCAATCCCTACATCATTGCTCAAAAGAAGAGAATTTAATAGATCGGGAGTTGGAAGGGCTGAGTTCTGGGTGCTAACTTAGTTGGGGGGGGGGCCACGCGGCGGCGCGGCAGTCTGCTCGCCTGGCATGTTCGGAAATCCGTGGGCCAGGGGGGAGTGTA